TTGCACTGCAATGCTTATGGCTAGTAAATTGGGATGATGAATATCATACCATCTGTATATGTACAGGAACAATACCTGTTGTTCTCTACTGTTGCATTTAAATAGATAATGAAACTGTTACTTATCAAAAAGAAAACTTCACATGAACACTAAATAAATGAGGTGATATTTTCAGTTAGTGACTGAAGTGCCTTGATCTCTGGTGTCATTGTGCTCGTCATGTTGCTTCAGAGGGCTCTTGAAATACAAGACATGATGTAATGCATAGGTAATCTAATTTAAACACTGCCTTAAAAAAGTAGACAGTGTAGAGTCTTATTGTGTTTAATCAAGGGCTAAGTGTGTGAAATATTTCACTGTAGGTGATAGTTTAAAAAAACGGAATTGAATAAAAATTAAAAGGGAGCTGTGTTTAAGGTAAGGCTATCAAATTGGCTAACCAAAATTTAATGAAGCACATTGTTACAATTTACTTTAAGCATTACTTCGATGATACTGCCAACATTTCTATTTTATAGAGACATTTGGATTAAATTTTAGGAACATGTTTTTATAATCATTATGGATCATGCTTCACATGCCAACTCATATCCCATGGATGTTTCAGAGACCTTTTTAAAAAAATCTATATAGATGACTTTTAACAAAAAACCTCTAAAATACTGTAGACACAATGAAAACACATTTGAGTTAGCTTTAACAGAAAAAGCGTTTACTAAACAGCTGGATTATCTCATGCAGTCTAACATCAACAAACCAGCTTGTTCTTTGGTGGAGTCTGGGACTGGGTGATGAATGCCCACTGAAATACTTTGACTTCCATCACTGACTTTCTATTTTCTTAAGAATTGATATTTTTCCTGAAAATTCTCTCCTCACATCTTCAACTTTGGAATTTTCAGATTAGAGATGATCACTTGAGAAAATATACTCAGGAAGTTCTAGATTGACTGTTATGACAGTTTTTCTTCTATTTATATGCAGTGTCACTGAGTTTTGGTTAAATCTTTTAACTGAAGCCCAATTGCAGGACAGTACGTACTGTTACTAAAATGAACTGGGTTTGTTCTCTGGGTGCTCAGTTGCAGAGTACATGAAGTCTGCTTTCTCCTTTCAAATACGTTACACTTTTATCTTTATCTGTCAAACCATTGCTTACAGTCCTCGGAGAAGATGGTCCAGGGTTGCTCTACAATAGTGAGTTTATATATACACCTCCTAAGATGAGTAGGGAGTTAAAAAAATAATTTCTGAATCCAGTTTGAAAATTCATTTAGAAAAAACTTTGGTTGATCTAGTGTGGGTCAACTGTGTAGCTAAGAGAGGTCAACTATGATTAAGGGAGATAATGGCATATGACTCTGAGCTACCTGTGACTGTGGGAACCATTCCAAAGAAGAGGAACTTATGTACCAGCACAAGAAACGGTCATTAAAGTCCTGCAAGATAACTACTAAGAATAAACTTAGTTTAATTGTAGTCACATAAAATAGACTAGATACTAGAGAAAACAGCTTTAAAGTATGTAAATTGACCAAGGTATTTTTCCCCTTGGAAATCACTTCACTGTAGTACATTGACTAGTTCATTCTATAAGAACCATCTTGGATTCTTACTTTGCTATTCTCTCATTTGTAGGTTCCTATTTTCTTGATTAGAGTTATAGGCCATTTGAGAAACAGAAAGATAAATCTTGTGTTTGGATTATTTATTCTAATTCCCACATGAATAAAGTGATTTTGAATGGCATAAAATAAAGTATACAATGTATAAGATATAGATACCATTTTAACGATAGGATATCATTCAGAATATGGATATGTCAAATGTGAACTAGAGAAGACCAAGCCCCCAATACAAATGGGTAGGTAAAATGGGGCTAAGAGGAATGAAGTATTTTATTTATGCTACAAACTGTTTCCTTGAAGACAGAAATAAGAACCCACACATTTGGATCCTCAATTTATGTTAGCTTCTGGAACTATATATTAAAATTAGACAGATCTGCTGTATGCCTGCCGATGAGGCACTTCTTCCGTTCGAAAGCAGCGTGGGGACCTTAAGGATGCTCTGGGCTTATCCTCGTGATACATTTAAACTACCATCTCCTGTGCATTTATGACTCAAGAGGTTTCAGATCAGCACTGAAATTAAGATAAATGCCTGCAGTTACATGGAGGCCTTACACATCAGAATTTGGGGTAAACATTCAGACATTTTTAGCTTGTTCACAACTATGGAGTAACAAAGACAATTGAAAGCACTGGGAAAGGAGTTCCTGAAGTGCCCAAATATCTTTACATAAAAAACTTTCAACAAAAGACTGTTTTATAGGCTGGGTGGTGGTGGCGCACGCTTTTAATCCCAGCATCGGGAGGCAGAGGCAGGCGGATCTCTGTGAGTTCGAGGCCAGCCTGGTCTCCAAAGCGAATTCCAGGAAAGGCGCAAAGCTACACAGAGAAACCCTGTCTCGAAAAACAAAAAACAAAAAACAACAAAAAAGACTGTTTTATAGATAACTAGCATAGTGAGAAATAACAATAACGCTTAAAACTTCACCTTTTCAAGTTAAATTGTTAAAAAGATAAGCCCACTTATTTCCAGGAAGAATAATTATATCATCAGTGTCACTTACCTATCTGCAATTCTCTTTTAGCAATAATGAATTGATGAAAAGAGTGAAAGCTGCGGTATCTTTGCTTATGTTAAAGCTGTCATTCCACCCATGTTGTGACTTTAAGCATAAATGATTTGTCCTATTTCTGGTGGTTTTAGTGAGACATTAATACAAAGGGGATTTTATTAATGCATTTTAGTGATTATGATCTTTTTCTGTAACTTTAGAGGTGATAAGAAAAGATTTTGTGGGACAGCAACAAGACCCTGTGCAGAATCAGCTTGCTTATACATTTAAACAACGCAAATCATTTGCATAGGAACATTCATATGAACTCATGTATTTGTAAGAGGGTGCATATTATATGAAATTGGATATTAAAATATCTGGATAATTCTGTCCTATTATATTGCTGTTGCTATATACCATTATACCAAATGACTTTACTTTCTTAGATATTATCAGTGAAATGCATATGTATATGTGATTTTATATATATATATTCTCTTAAAGCTATGATAAGCATTTAGTTGTATGTATAAACATAAATTCCAATTTATTAGAAGGTAAAAACTTACATCCCTTTCTTGAAAATGCTAAATAAACAACTAAATATTTTGTGTCTAACTGTCTTGGTTCTTGCCTTACTGTCTTCTATCTTTGTGGAATCCTGATAACTCACACAGACAATAAATAAAAGAAATAAGTGAATCAGAAGAAACAATTCAGAAACCCCAAACAGGAACTTATTCCCAGAGTCACATGAGTGACATGGTAGTTGTTCCAGGTTATTTTCATTTCCTGCCCGTGTTCCTAACCAGAAATCCAAACAAGCAAAATGTAAGGGTGAAAGCTAAAACGAGGAGAAAAGGGGAAGAGAAAAAGCACTATTTTTAACTGTGGGGAAGGCCCCCGTTTTAAAAGAGAAAGCCAAGAGCTGACTTCCAACTTTTCCGGATGTTATGTTCCGCTCCTCTCCCTCACCACACTTAAGATTTACTTGGTGTGATGAATGACTGCACAACAATAAAGGAGCACCATGTGGTGTTTTCAGGTTTGGCAAAGAAAAGACAAGGAGGCAGCACGGGAACATGGGGACTAGGAGATGGGACTCCAGGTCCACACTGCACAGCTCTGCAGTGCTCATCACTAATCCCCTTGGACTTCTGTACCCTTTGAATTTGTTTTAAATCTGGGCATTGAAGAGTTTGAACTGAATTTATTCTTAAGTTCACCTTTGCTTGTAAATAAGTTGCATTTTAGATGTGTGTTCACTATGTCCACTTATTCTAATTGTTTTCTGCATGGCCTTACTATATTTTAATCTTCAAAATAATTTCAAAAGTATTGCTTTAAGCGTGTCACCCACCTGTAATTCACTCAAGGATGCAAAAATTCAGTATTTGTAAGAGCAAACTGTAGAGAGGAATGTAGATTTTCAGTGGCTCCTTCTCTTTCTGGTGTCCTTCTTACCCTTTGTGAAGAGTTGTGTTCCAGCTGCATGCTAGACCATTTCCAAGTCAGCTAGTTTCTACCTGTAGATCCTGCTCATGGCCACACTACATCTTCAAACAGAACAAAGAAGACACACAAACACAACAAAACAGGGCAAGCAAACCTTCCTTGAGAACGATCATTAGTTGGGTAATAAATCATGACACGAGAAAAGACAGAGATGGGAGTTCTTTTCGGAAGGTTGCTAAATAAGCTGGAGTTCTGCTCTTCCCAATCTCAAAGCTGGAACACACACTCTCGTGAAAAGATCTCCTGAATGTCTTCCGAGCATAAAGGAGGGAGTGCCTATTTAGTTAATTTTAAATTGTCAGCTTTTTTCCCTCCATTCTTTCAGCAAAATAAACTGTTTTGCAGAATAAGAGGGTTAAGAAAAGGCCTGAGTGAGTCACTCCAATTTGTTTCCACATTCTGAACAGTCAATAAAGGAATTTATTGCCTCATTAGGCATTTTGAGTAGTTTTCTGGAAACCTGGATGACGTAATACCAAAAAGTAACCTAGTAAGATGTTTTAAAAGCGGTGGCAGCTGAATTTGTGTTTGAGATTTCAAGCTGCCCATTAGGCTGGGCTGACAAGCTAGTGTTAAGAAATAGTGGCAGGCAGTGAGAGGGCTGGATTCAGGTGTAGGAGGGAAGTGAGGTGGAAACTCTATTTTTATCAAGTTCTAAAAAAAAAAACAGTGTAAACACTGCTATATAAAAAGTGCTGTAAAGTGATAGAGGACAGAAGATTTGAAGGCGTTTCAATAACAAATATCAATAGCCTCTTCTCAGAGAAAGTGCAAATTGGGTCATTGAACTGGATGGTAAGCAAGACACACACCACATACAGCATCTTGACTTACTCCTGTTCCCTCGCACTTTCCATAGCTGCTGTTTGGCCCAAGTGCACATGTCAGACTCACAGTCAGTGCTCCCGGGGCTCCAGGCATCTGTAAGCATCCTGTCTCCCCTGTGAGATTCAGAGGCTCATTAGAAGTCCAGTGAAGGTAGGTTCCATGCTTATGATCATTCAGTAGAAATGTCTTCACTCTTGGATGATAGAAAATCAAACCAGCAGCTAGCAACGTATGTCTGTGTTTGTGAATAAAGGAATGTTAATTTTGTTTAAAAAATGTAAACAAACATTTTTCCAGGAAAGTAAAAAATATGAAGAGCAAATGATTTGTTAGTACGTCAGGCATAGTGACGAATTTTGCTTAACCAGCACTTTGGCAGATAAACACATTCATCATGATCAGCCTATCCTACATTAAAAGAATTGAAGGCATTTTAGGGAGTTTTCCAGATACTAGGACTAGAGGTATTTGTTTCTCATAGTGAATACTGTGTGCACGTGTGCACGTGTGTGTGTGTGTGTGTGTGTGTGTGTGTGTGTGTGTGTGAGAGAGAGAGAGAGAAAGAGAGAGAGAGAGAGAGAGAGAGAGAGAGAGAGAAAGAGAGACAGAGACAGAGAGAGACAGAGAGAAGAGAGGAGAGATTTTCTATTTAACAGATTTGAGTTTCCATGATTTTTCGAGAAGGAAATAATGAGACATTTACTACTTTAACTTGAATTCTGTTTATTTTACTCAAAGACAGATTTCTTAACATGGTTTTGTGTTATTACAAGTTTCCAAATTTAGGAGTTCTGTCCCATCCTTAACTCTTTCACCGCTGATGCCTTAATCACCATTTTCCCCATTAAAATTTAGGGAACCCAAGTTGAGATGGGAAAGCTGTGTTTTGTACAGGGCTGAGGCAGAGGCATTGGGAGGACATTTCATTCTACTACAGTGGCTCTCTCTTGATAGTTTTCTTCTGTAAAAAGTGCATTTGGGGTACATTACTTCAAATTGCCCTTGAAGACTATAAGGGCAATAAATAAATCTAAATTTGTGTCACAGGGGAGATAAAAATCTACTTATAACCTGAATGAAGAAATTAAAGTTGCAAAATGATCTGCCTCTGATTAACCTCTTTCTAATTAACATTATAAAAGTTCCAGATCTGAGGTGCAGCCAAATGCCAGTGTTTCCTACTTTGTATAGTCTTCTACATATTATTTCTTTCTAAAGGAGTAGAGGGTGTTCTTTTTAGTGATATTTATTGGTTGTTATGTTCCTTGAGTCTGTCCTTAGTTGTTCCATTGAACAACTATTTAATTATAAGGTAATGAGTGCTGGCAATTAACAAAATTATTTCAGCAGACTGAGAGAAACTACTAGATTTAGGGAGCTCAGAGTGTGCCAGGTATATAGTAGGTACTCAACAAATAGTCAATGATTAAAATGAATGCATTTGAGGGGGGAAATTAGATGATTATAAAACATAAAGAATAAAGAAATATTGGCAAAGGTCTAAAAATATTTGCATACTGAAGGAGAGGAAATATGAAAAAGCTTTCCTTGGAGAAGTCACGACTATATTTAAAGAGTAGTCAACATTTGAACTGAGTTGGTATTCCAACAACAATGTTAAAAGCACATGTTAATACTGACTTACGTGTGCTGTTGTTCACCATATGCTTTGGGGAATGGCTGATCACTGGTCACAGGAGTTTAGGAAGCCAGATAGGAGCTAGAAGAAATTTCTCAAGAGGTTTTGTACTGTCAAGCTAAGCAGTTTATCTTCCTCTTATGAGGCTCAAAGTCATCATATGGTAAATAACGGGAAGCCAGTTATTTACAAAGTAAGACTGGGATTTCTTTGGGGACTAGCACCTACCAATCCTTTGATTGTGCTCAGATGGTCCCTGTCCAGCCTTTTTAAAGCTTTCCCACCCTTTTCACCCATGTCTCCTAAACAAGGTGGAACCATTCTTTATCCTCTAAATACTTCTTACCTGTCATCATTGGTGATGGGGAACTCTGTCACTGACCATGAGGAATAACTCTTTGGAAATGATATATCCCTGCAATGGTTTGAAAGAAAATGGCCCTCAGGGGTCAATAGGGAGTGGCACTATTAGCTAGTGTGACCTTGTTGGAGTCTGTGTGGCCTTGTTGGAGGAAATATGTCACTGGGGATGGATTGCAGTTGCTTAAGCCAGGCCCACTGTCACTCTCTCTTCCTGCTGCCTGCCAATCTGGATGTAGGACTCTGAGTTACCTCTCCAGCACTATGTCTACCTGTGTGCCAGCTTGCTTCCCATCCTGATGATAATGGACTAAACCTCTGAACTATAAGCCAGTCCCAATTAAATGTTTCCTTATGAGAGTTGCCATGGTCATGGTGTTTCTTCACAGCAATAGAAACTCTAAGGCAAACCCCCCACTGATATTTTAGAGACTCTGATATCATCTGTATTTATAGATTTGCCCTTGACTCTTCAGCACCCCCTACCCACCTCAGCATTTTTTTTTTAAGACTTGCAAACATGTAATGTGGACTTAGAGGTTATCCATATCTGAACACAAAGCCACAAAATCATTACTAACTTTACAAATAAAAATTGAAACAGATTGATACCAGTGCTAGCTGTGGATCCAGATGGTTAAGGTACAATCTTTGGCATTGCCACCAACTGGCCATGACCTTGAGCAAATTCCGTACACACTGCAGCTAGCTTTGGGAGAGAGTGTCACCTTTTCTCCTAGGTAGGTTGGAGAAATAAAAGAGTTAATTCAGCTATTGGCCTGCGGTAAGGACTCATAGATTATTATAGATGTTGTTGTGTAGGGGAGAGAGTTGATATTATTAATGCTCTTCTTTTGCAACAGCTTCTTTCTGATCTTGTGAATGCTGCTGCTTTGTCTAAAGCCCTTATTCCACAAAGAGTGCAGGATATTTTTTTATTATTTTCGAAAATAAATTTTTTTCATATAATATATCCTGATTATAGTTCTCTTCCCCCAACTCTTCCCAGATCTTCCCAGCTTTACTACCCACCCAAACACACACCCTCTCTTTCTTTCTTCTCACAGGAATATAAACAAGCATCTAACAAAATAATAATAATAATAATATAATGATCAAACAAACCAGAATAAGACAAAACAAACAAACAAAAGAAAAAGAGCCAAAGAAAAACTCTCAAGAAACAGAAGTAGATGCATAGACACACACATTTGTACACAAACCTAGAAACCACAATATGTATGTAGTGGACTTCTAAGGTTAATAATAGTAATAATAATAATAATAATAATAATAAATAATATAATAATATAATAGACCTGATAGAACATTATGAAATAAATATGTGGTGATATTTTATTTGTACTTTAATAAATAAACCTTGCCTGGAGATCAGAGGGAACAGCAAGCCATTGTAAGTAAACAAAGAAGTCAGGCAGTGGTAGCACACGCCCTTAATTCTATCACTTAGCAGGCAGGATCTCTGTATATTCAAGGCCATACTAGGGAACAGAGCCAAGCATGGTGACACATGCCTTTAATCCCAGTACCAACCATAGAAGTCTGGAGGTCTGTACAGATAGACAGAAAGTGACAGAACTGGATAGGAAGAGGAAGTGATGTAGCTGGACAGAGAGCAAATCAGATGGCAGAACAGCAAGGCATATATGCATGGGTAGACAGGAAGTAACTCACATTTGAAAGCTTCAGAGTTGGTGAGGTAAGACTGGCTGGTGGCTTTTCCTATTTCCCTGATCTCTCCAAGGCTTTTACCCCTATATTTGGCTCCATGTTTTTTATTTAATAAGACCGTTTAGAATTTACTCTACGCCGGGCGGTGGTGGCGCACGCCTTTAATCCCAGCACTCAGGAGGCAGAGGCAGGCGGATCTCTGTGAGTTCGAGGCCAGCCTGGACTACCAAGTGAGTTCCAGGAAAGGCGCAAAGCTACACAGAGAACCCCTGTCTCGAAAAACCAAAAAAAAAAAAAAAAAAAAAAAAGAATTTACTCTACACAAATAACTTACAAATATGTCATTGAGTTTATTTGGTTGGGGCTGTCTACCCATGGGCAAACTGTTATTATTAAGCAGAGCAACAAAACCCACCATAAGAGTTTATTAAGGGGAGGGAATAGAGAGGGTATGCATAGGCTTATGGAATGACCATACAGGAAGAGAGGGAAGGAATAGGTGCAACCCACTTTTATAGGTCCTGTCCCCTGCACATGAGCATATGGACTTACATAGCTATGCCACGCATGTGCATAGATACATGATCATTTATTACACGGATTATGTAGGATGTAAGACCCTAGGATGACTAAGCATCTTGCCTGACTACAGGACAGTGTAGGCATGGTCATGTAGCTGGGGGAGTGGCTATGAATTCTAACTTTAAGAGTGATTTGTATCCCTGGTGAGATTCTGTTGGAAAAAAAGCCAATGTTTTGTTTTCGAGTGATAGTTTCTGATGATAGTTTCTGGGTCAAGGATAGGGGCTTGTGCCTACTTCCTGTCTTGGCACTGGGACCCTATCTGGCTCAGACTTGTATAGGCCTTGAGAGCACATGCTCTTTGCATTTTTTGTGTTACTGGTTTCTATATTTTGACATGTAATAGCTGAACCTAAAGCAATACATTTTCTTATGTTATGAATGAATGAATGTTCAGCTCCACTGGACATCCATGGGTATCTCAAGTTCTTATGTCTCAAGAATAAGAAATTGGACAAAGACACAAGACAGTCATAGAAGGAGACACTTTTTTAAGGTCAAAGGCCTTTCTGACAGTAGAAGTTGACCAGACTGGGAGAAAATGTCCAGAGCTGAGAAGGACCTATGACCTGTGGATTGAGAGCTCTTTAACTTATTTGTTCATTGCTTTTATTTTATTTATTTACTTATTTTTTAATTAAATACAAGCTTTGTTATTCATTAGCATTAGTGCTGGGGTTGGCAATTGTCCTCAATAACTGTTTTCTTTCATATGCTCATTCTGACCCACTCCCTGCTCAGTTCTCCTTCCACAATTCCTGCCTGAGATTTAATGGTTTAAGTAAGCAGCAGAAGGTAGCTTGGTGGGTTGGAACCAAGAGTCAACACAAGGTCACTCCATGCAACAGATCTCACTCAGAGGTTTATTGGGAGAGTG